AAGTTATACGAGGGGGGGGGGGGGCAGCGGGTTAATAAGTTCACCACGGTTAACGTCAGTTCATACTCAACATCGTGATCCAATCCACCACGTACCGGAGACAATAGATCCATTAAAGGGGTGCAGTCCATGGTGTCTATGAAGGTTTCTTTTCTACGAAATGAGAGAAAAGTGCCAGATAACTGAGGCAGACAGATGGCAGGCCTGCCTCTGCCCATTACGTGTGGACATGCTACTTCTGATTCTCTTCCCTGCGTATGACTTCCGAGTTCCAGCAATCAGCCAGAATGGGATAGCCACTTCTCAGCACGCTCCTCTAATCACTCGCCGCCCTGGTCGATACCGCTTTGCGTTTTCGGTAAAGTCAGAATACAACCTTGCAATTTCAGCACTCGCTCTCATCAATCTGTTTATCGGGAACGGCCTAGGCAGAAAACAATGACATCGTCTGCAATCTGAGTTCGATGTGTGAGAATCCCATTTACAGCCAGCTAAGTCTACGGTCGCGTGAGGACTACTTTTGTTGGGAAAGCAGCACAACCACTGCAGGAATTCCGTTACACAAACACACGTAGCTTCACCAAACTGCAGAGAAAATACTATCTAGTGTTATTGGGGGGGGACCAAAAAAAAGAAAAATTATGTTTAAATTTTGTTCTCTCAAATGAAAAAAGCTGAAGTGTTAAGGCAGCGTTAGCAGGCCAAGCGACTGTCCCCTAAATACCGAAAATGAAGAACTACCTCCTCGTCTATAATACACACACACTCGAACTGAAACCCAAAACTAAGAGGTAAGATTCAACAGTGCTCAACTTAGGTAAGGAAATTGTGCAGTATGCGGTTATCCCAAGGAAACGCCAAGTCCTTGGACGGCATTGGGCTGTTTTTTTCGCGATGATTTACAAACAATTATTGCTTATATTGAGGTCATACTTCGCGACTCAAGCGATTTAGCCGAGCGATTCGGGAAACAAGTGACTGATACCGAAGAGTACTGTGTAATTAATCGCTGGATCTCTCCAAGTATCGATAGAAGTTCTACCCGATTGGCAGAACAGTCCAATTATTAACGGTGAAGCACGATTGGTCCTAACCACACGACAGAATCGCTCGAATCGCGAAGTATGAACGCTGACTTACACTGCCTTAAAACTTCTGAAAATGTTATTACTCAAAATAGGTATTACCTTAGGTTATCTTCTACCACTACGTCACCTGGTGAGTGTAGCGTTAAGGAACTCAAGCGTGCTGACAGACTAGCAAGCGAATCGTTGAGAACTGTGTTCTCATCGATTTCATCAACTGACTCTGCAGCATCCTGGAACTCATCATCATCGTCTTCTAAAGAGTCTTCATCGTTCGGAGTCAGTAAACGTGGTTGTTCTGGAAATAGCGCAGCCTTCAAAGAACCAATGTAACATTTTTGTCCAAAAGAACAACAAGATTACAAGGTCATCCTAAGATCTCGAGGATAGGTATCGGCTCATTTACCTGTGACTAGAAATTGCCAACCAACACCCCGCACTCATTTCAGGTAAAGTACAATAAATACGAAACTTTATTGTTTCGCTGCCTTATGCATCAGAGGGAGCAGAGACCTAGGAAGACTCACGACGCTGGGGTCTCCCATGCGCCAGCCGTCACTCGTTCACCACCATTGTGGAAGGCTGCAGGTCAAACACCAATATGGGTGAGACAGCGGCTAGCGCCGCGCCCGTGCCACACCCCCCCCCCCCCCTCCCGAAACGTTCTAGCATCCAAGAGTAACATGCGCTTGACTAGGTTTCAGCACAACATAATGTACAGATTACTCCCATTCCAGATCCCGTCTCTCTCAAACTGCCCCTCGGAGAACGCTATAGTGGAGCCTATCCCGCTTATTCACAAGAAAAGCGCATCAGTAATACGACACAGACACCAGAATGTTTGATAAGAACTTACCTGAGGGGGGGGGGGGGGTGTCCATCTTCGTCTTCAAAAACAATCGCTATCGCCAGAAGATCCGCGGTCGCTTGACGCTCTTTTTGTTCACATGACCGAGATAGCCATTGAGAACTGTGAGACCTTCATCTGATCTCAGATCAACAAAATGATCAAGGAAACACCATGACTCCGCCCACTTCACATTAAATTTCGTACTCAGTTCACGTCCAACGCGTTCATATCCCTGAAAGTAAATTGGCTGGACAGCAATGAGCAGACACAAGTGGAAGTGTTCCACATATAGAAAGCAAGAGAGAAAGTCAGATTTTTTTCAAAAGATCTCGCACTTGTCAATGTCCCCTCCGCACATTTGACATGCTTTTCTGATCCAATCCAGCTATTGAGAAACTGTGTTGCCTTTTCCTTAGAACCAAAGGGACCAGCGTATCCTGTTAATTTGAAATCTGGCAGCAAAGGAGAACACAGCATATTACCCTGAAATAGGAAAAGCTCTTGAACTTCAGCTTCACTTTAATTCGCTATTGCAGTGATGGAAATAAACGTTCAAATCAAATTCAAGGCGACGACTGCTACCGATTACCCAAAGCGTGAGAAGTTCTCTTTGATATCACAACACTAATTCCGGCCTCTCCAAAATTGCAAACAAGGCTAAATCTTTAAAATGTTTGTATGCTGCACTTTAGGTCTGCCGCTTCGTTATTCTACAGTTTTTAACATTCGCCAATCGATGACGGGCGGTTTCAAGAGGAAGAGCCCACCCGCGGCTTTTCCATAACTAATTGATTTCTTCCTCAACCGATCACTTACCGATCACTATGGTAAGCCACACTGCAAGGCAGCCGAAGGCATTCCGCCCCTCCAGCTACCGCCCCATCCGAATTGCGATGTTACAGACTATATTTCTAGTGACTTGCCCACCTGTGCCCATAGGAACGCCAGCAAAAGAAAAAGAGCACAAAAAAATCAGTTCGCTTTTTGTGTCAGTACTTCAAGAAAAAATGAAGCGCTGAACTCAGTCAGCAATTAATAGCACAGGATGCAGGCAACTCGACAGTGGGAAATTTTAGACAGAAATGTGAATAAGGCCATTAACACGGAAATAATCATCGAAAAGTCCAAGCCGCTCACAGGTGTAGCATCGGAGCACTGCTGCTTGAAATAGTGTGTCGAGACTACATCCCTCGAGGGAGGTCTTGCTACGCACACCCCCTTCCCCTCCCTTCAAACACCATACCTAGCCCTTCCCTACACTTTCCAGCTTCCTACCAGTCTTGTTCCAAATTTCCACTTTTTCTTTTTCACCCAAAATTTCGTACGAGGGGGAAAGGGGGGGAGGTATATAGCCAACGTGAAACGGGAAAACAGCGAAAACTCAACAACCGGGGAAGTTCTGTTCCCCAACGCGGCAAATTTCTCTCAAAGGCACATGCCTCCTCTCCCGACAACGACCAAATACGTCCCCTCCCCAGCGGCCAAGTACGACCCCACCCCCATGTGTTTCACACAACGATGATGTACCCTGCGCTCATGAGGGTCAAAATCCGAGACTCAGCTCTTAAAGCGCCTTTGAAGTAGCACTGGTAACAACTCACATCGTTCGACAGACACGACTTTGGAAAAGTCTCCGATGCTATAATTCTCGCGGGCACACTGTTGTCGAATGAGCGATAGACACCAACAAAATAGCCGCCAAGTAGCAGTTCCATTTCATCTTTTCTATTCTTCTTATCTTCTCCAGTATACCGACTGCATGCTATTTCTAGGGCCGTTTTGCCTTCGCTAAAGCAGAGATAGTTTGCAAAAATACCATGCGCAACATAAATTACAGAAAAAATCTAGAGCAAGCCAAACTACCTAATTTTTTAAACAATTCCCGAATTTCTTTGACTTAGAAACAGGATGACTGATACTACACATCGATAGTTGAGAAATATTGGCGAATACAGATGAGGCGTGCTGTACTGGCAAGTGGTACGCTTATCGAACGCACGCTCAGGGAGTCATGAAAACCCACAGGCACCCTTGTAGGTCTGGAATCCGTACCTTGAAGACTGAGGGTGCTATTAAGACGAATGGTTGTACAACGAATCAGTGTGCGTTATGGTAATCAGTTATACTAACTTTCTGTACCGTAACTGTGCTGATTACTTGATCTTCTATCTGTTCAAGGTCCAACGAAAACTTTAAAACTGTCGAAAATGTGATCTCAACTGTTTTGTTATG